TCTTTTGATGAATGTTTAAATCATTAGAAATAGGTTCTTAAAAAATTGTCTAGAGAAAAAATATGACTTTAAGTTGAGAAATAAATCATTTTATCGTGAAGGAGGTAATTATTTTAAGGCAAGCATGTTGTGAGCAAAAGATGTTTGGAAGTGGATAGACTAATAGATGTCATTTCTAACATACAATCTTCAACCTCGTTCAGAAAAAATCAATCTTTTTTAGGTCATGTTAGTTTTTACTAAGGATTTTTTGAAGATATCTAGGCCCTTAATTTTTCTATTAATCAAGGATGTGTCTTTTATTCTTGATGAAAAATATTTATAAAATTTTATTGTAGACCACTAATAAAAAGATTATTAATAGAGTCACTAATCCTACATATCCCAAATTAATCTTTGCCTTTTAAAATTATATGTGACATATCTAAACTATGTAGTTGGGACAATTTTAGGTCAACATATTGATAAAAATTTTGTGGCCATCTCCTATATAAGTAAGACAATTTCCAATGCTGAATTTAATTATATTTTAGTTGTTATTTTAGATCTTATATTTTGGGAGTTAAAATTATCATTTATATTGATCACTCAACCTTAAAATATGTATTTATAAAAAATAAAATTAAATGACATTTAATCATGTGGATTTACTACTGCAAGAATTTAATTTAGAAATTAAGGATAAAAAGAGACTTGTGAACATGGTTGCTAACTATTTATTCAAGCTGTCATACAGATGCAGAAGTGGTTCATCTTCAAGCTTTATTTTCAGATGAGCAATGGATGGTTGTACAATATCAACAAAGTCCTTGATATGCACATACTGTAAAAATCATAGTTTCAAGTTAATTATCATAAAATTAGAACACGAAAAATATATCATTTATTTTATAAGATTAAATGATATTTCTAGAATGAACCTGATTTATTGCATTTGGGAATGAATCAAATATTCATAGATGTATATCAATAAACAAACCATTAAACATCTTGAAATTGTATCATTCATCTAACTATGGTGGATATTTTTCTGGTCCAAAACTGCACCCAAAGTTTTACGATATGGATTTTATTAGTCTACTTTATTTAAGGATGCTCATCAATTTAGTAAAATATGTCTTCCATGTCAATCTGTGGTAAACATAAATAGACATGATGAAATGCTCATAAATACTATACTTGTAGTAGAACATTTTGACATTTAATGAATTGATTTTATGAAACCATTTCCATCATCATTTGGATATGAATACATATTATTGATAGTTGATTACTTGTAAAATAGGTTGACGTTATACCCACAAAAACCAATGATCATCAGGTTGTCATGAAATTTTTGCATAATTATATTCTATCCAGATTTAGTTGTCCTAAGGTGATTATAAGTGATGAACTCACTCATTTTACAAGACAAAATTTTAGAGACCTATTAAAGAAAAATAGAGTGCATCATAAGATAGTGACACCCTATCATCCTTAAATTAATGGACAAGCTGAGGGAAAATTAAAAAAAATAAATACAAAAGATAGTTTGGCCAAATATGAAGGAATGGGTGAATAAACTTTTAGACACATTATTTACTTAGTATTTAAAAACCATCAAGGTGACAACAAAGTGTAACATACCCCTATTCTCAAAAATATTGACATTATCAATTCCAATCTGAAGGTCAGTATGCATCATGATAGAAGCTCTAATTTTTTGTGGGAGTGATCATCACTAGCAGGGACATTCTTACTAGGTAATGTGGAATGACATACTACCATAGATTAGATCGTTAATGTTAAAAATCGTGTGGTTCACAATAAAACAACTTGCTGATGTTGCCATAATTGACTTGCTGATCTGTTCCAAACACTCCACAATTGATTCTTATGATAAGATTTGGATTCGGATATTGGAGCTGAATAAAACCCGTAAGGGGCTTATATCAGGGCCCATTAATTCTCTGAAAATGGAAATTGGGCCCAATGACCCTGGCCCCATTCACCCGATTCTACTTTCATCCATATTTTGGGCTGACCATATCCGATATCTGATGCACATAGATTTGTGATAACAACGGGCTTGGTCCCCTCTTAAGTTTCCATCAGATCAAGGATCAAAAGGAAAATAATGAAAAAAATAATAGGTAAATTTTATGAAAAACTATACGTGTGTTTAAAATTGTGCACGTGCTTATAAAGAATGTTCAGACCAAAGACATTGGCGACTTGTTCGAACTCATTAGACCTTTTCTTCTTATGTCATGCTGAGATGCGCACGAATGACTTTAACTCTCTCTCTCTCTCTCTCTCTCTCTCTTGTCTTCGTTGAACGGCTGCTTGAAGACCATGGACCCTTCCCATCTCATGACATGACGTGGCACCAAGGCCACTAGATATCTAGAATGGTGACCTCATCAACCGTCAGTGGGGGATTTTAGTGATGGCGTGAGTACGATGTCACTTGCTGATGTATGGTTCGACTTCTCTGTCAGAAGAGTCCATATTTGTAAGCAAATCAATAACTAATTATTTGAATATATATAAATATAGATATATATGCCTGAATTTTTAGATGCACGTAAGTATGACACCTGTTGACCACATACTCAAAATTATCTCACATGAGAGAGAGAGAGAGAGAGAGAGAGAGAGAGAGAGAAAGAGAGAGATCATGAATGATGATATTGGTAGTGGAGATGGGGGCTTAGGATCTAAGTTTGGTCTCGTTGAGAATAATATTTTAAGATGTCCTAAGTGAGATTATTTGAGGTGACAACTTAACTTTGCGCCAAATAAAATATCTATTGATGATAATATATCTTTTAAAAATTAATAAGAATAAAAATGAGATAATGTGGCTCATTAGGGATCTAAAAATCCTATTTTTACATTCACAACCTGCTTTCCCCCCCTTTCTAAATGAAAAAGGAGGGAGTAGGATCTGTGTCATTCTAAATGAAAAAAAAAATCTTCCCTTTTAGGAGAAATAAGGAGGGAGTAGGATCTGTGTCAAGTGAAGCATACCTGAAGAGGAAGTTATAGACCTAACTGTGTCAACTGGAGGTCTTCTTTTCAGAGCTCCAATCAGGTACCAGTTCAAGTTATAGACCTAACTGTTCTTCAACCTCTCCTGAAAATTTGGAAACAGATAATGTTATCAGCTGACTACAATCCATTGCACGCTTTTCAGAAACAGACGGCCGTCGAGAGTCTCTTACTTCGGTCTATGATCTCGCGTGAACTTGAAATGATCTTGTGAATCAGTTCTTGCCTAGCGATGACCGAACACCTGGCCGACTGGAACAGTAGAAGGACGGTGTTGAAGAGCTCGGGCAAGCTAGAGAGCATCTTCCGTCTCCTCTTTGAAGCTGTCATGCCCTCTTCTTGCTCCTCTCGAGTTCTTCTCTCCTTTTCTGTAACCTGTCAGAGCTTCCAACAGTAGACGGAAACCCATCTAGGCCTTTTTAAAGATAATTGGGGCAATTGAGTCACAGAGGATGTGTGCAAGTATTCAGAGAGAGAGGGGGGGAGAGAGAGAGAGAGCTATTACCGACTCTAGGAGAGCCTTTGGAAGGAACTGGAACTCGAGGAAGCTTTCGTCTGCAACCTTTGTTTCTTCCTGCTCAGGCTCAACTTGCTTCACTGGACTGTGAAATAGTCTTTCCCGAGTGGGGCACCTATACGACTTCAAGGCGGTGGAGCTTTCATCGTCGCCTAGTTGATAACTCTCGGGAGTTTGCAGCTGCGGAGTGGCTTGACCGCAGAGATAATCCTTCCGAGAGAAGTGCTTCCTGAAGGACCCGGGTAAGTGGGAAGGCACTTGCGTTGCCGGTTGCTCCTGGGAAGAAGTGATAAACGGTCGATCTCTGCACCAGGTTCTTTCTTGAATCGGGTCCGTAGGTCACGACGAGGGAATGTTTCCTCTAGTTTGACTGAATGGCTCCGGCAGTTCAGCTTCAGGAACATCCTCCCCCTGATGAATTAATCACAGATGAGAAATTGGTCGCTGTGCACCAGCTCTAGAACACGCCGCACCCGGTACTCTCCCTGCTCGGGGAACGGCGACCGCTTCTGCTTGCCAGCGAGACACGCCTCACACAGCTGGTCCACCTGACCAACTGTCGGCAACCCGCGCACCAGCTCCTCCCGAGCCATCTTCCGCAGCGCGGTCATGTTGACATGGCCGAGGCGCGCGTGCCATTTCTAAGCTTCTTCGACTCCCCGCGCCTCCAAGCACACCGGCCGAACCAGCTTGGCGTGGAGAATGTACAGCCGATTCTCTCCGCGCATCACCTTCGCCAGGAGCCGTCCGCCTGGCTCATGGACCTTCATCGCCCCCTTCTCGATGTCGATATGGTACCCGGCCTCATCGAGTTGGCCGACGCTGACGATGTTCGTCGTCAGTCGGGGAATGTAATACACCCCTGAGAAGGACCGGTGCTCGCCGTTCTTGCACAGGAACACGATTGCCCCCCGGCCTTCGATCCGCGCCACCGAGTCGTGGCCGAACCGCACCGTCCCAAGCACCTCCGTGGTTCGTGGCGCCCGTGTCCTCGACCCACGCAGCTCCTCCTCTTCAAGGTGGGCGAACACCTTCTCTTCCCGCAGATGGATCTGGGTCTGGGCGCCTAGCTTCTTCTCTTCTTTGGCGGCCCCTCCATTGACGGGGACCCCTTTTGCTCCCGGCGGCGGTGGGCTTGCACGCCGGAGCCGATCCTCTGACTGCGGAGTCGCAGCAAAACGTGGTGGAGTGGAGGTTGGTGGCGGCGCCGTCGATATGGCCGTCGTTGACTTCACGAGAAGGAGCGAGGCCTCCTCCTCATCTTGGACGACGTGGGCCTGCTCTTTCTTGGGCTTGGAGCGGCACTCGCGGGCCCAGTGGCCCAGCTTCCCGCATCTCCTGCACTCATTACCTCTGGGCCGGCCTGAGTTGCCCGTCAGGCCGCCTGATGACGAGCCCTTGTCGCTGCCACGGCCGCGCCCGCGCCCGCGCCCATGTCTGACACGGTGCGTCACGCTGCTGCTACCTCCACCACCAGTTTTCTCATCATCACGCTTCCTCCGCCGTGCATCCCACTCTTCTCAGTCAGGTACAGCTTGCCCTCGTGGTGCATAGCCGACGGCGGTTCCTCGAAGGCATCCTCCGCCGCCTTGAGCCGACCCGTCAAATCCGCGAGCAGCATCGTGATCGCGACCACGATCTGCCTGAAACGCTGGGGAACACTGCGGATTATCTTCTCCACTACCTGCGTCTCTTCGACCTTGTCGCCGAGGGTGCTGAGAGTCGACGCCATGCTGTTGAGACGCAGCGCGTAGTCCTCAACAGACTCTCCCTCCTTGAACGTCGCCGAGTCGAACTGCCGCCGCAAGTTCTGAGCCGACGCCTTCTTTACGCGGTCATCGCCGATCCGCATGGTGGCGATAGCCTCCCAGGCCTCCTTGGCCGTCTCCTTGTTCGCGATCACCGGCCACATTTCCGGCGGCACGGCGCTGCAGAGCGCGTCGAGCGCCTGCATGTCTTCGTGGGGTTCGACGCCCCCTTTCTCAATGGCGGTCCAGAGCAACCGGGCTCTGAGCTTGACCTTCATGAGCAGCGCCCAGTCGGAGTAGTTGGTCTTGGTGAGCATTGGGAACCCGGTCCCGGCGCTCACCTCACGAATCACCCTCTGGACTACGCCGTCCTTTCCTCCTGCCATAGCGCGTCTCGATTGCGCGTTCTCGATTCCAACGGCTGTACCTTGCCGCGATCGAGTCCCGGCCCGCAACCTAGGAGCTCTGATACCACTTGTTAGAAACTCGCCGGAGAGACGACGGCAGTTAAGACGTCGCCGGCGATATCACCTTCTGAGTCATAGGAAAAACCCAGCAGGAGGAACAAGGAAGACTATCTCGCTCATAGAAAACCTCTTACAGCCCTCTTTAAATAAGGGAGCAAAAAGGGGGGAAAAGGAATAACCGTAAGCAATAAGCAACCTCTTACAGCCCTCTTACAGCTTCGTCGTAGTCGATCCCCTGGCGTTGCACATAGCCCTTCACCACTAGGCGCGCCTTGTACTTCGTCACAGCTCCGTTTTCATCCCGCTTCACCTTGTACACCCACTTCAACCTGATCGCCCGGCGACCATGTGGGAGGTCAACCAATGACCAGGTGCGGTTCTCCTCGATCGACCCCATCTCCTCCTCCATAGCCTTCCTCCAGCTCGGATGGCCCTTTGCTTCAGCAAAAGAGATCGGCTCATCAGAACTTACAACGTGCAGCTCCTCTGCAATTAATGCCCGCGACGCGAGACCACGCGGCGAGGCCAGCCCAACGATGTCGTCGATCTTGTGGAACCGGAATGGCGCATCATCGTGATTAGCATCCAGGTGGTCGATGTGGACACTGGGTGGAGTGGCGAACTCCACCTCCTTTCCTCCATCTTCAATCGGCACCGCCCCCCCACTGGAGTGCACGGATGGCGGCGACATCGGCTCTGGTCCTAGCGCATCATCATCAAGTACCTCGATGGCGCCTTCGAGCTCCGGAGGTACCTGGTTCCCGACGGCATACTCCAATGTGAACATGTCGTGGCTGCCCGCATCCCCTTGCTCCGCGCCGCTGCCCCAGTCCCACTAGGCATTTTCGTCGAACACCACGTCCCGTGTCACATGGACACGCCTCGTGGTGGGATCGTAGGCACTACCGTGCCTTTGATCCGCACTCGTAGCCGATGAAGATCATCTTGCGGCCACGCGCCAGAGGTGCCTGAGGATCTTCTTGATACACATCGCTTCTGGTAGGATGTACTTGAGTTGGGCCAGATGTCCATAAGAAAACCTCCTGAACCGTTGCAACGAAGTCGATTTTGTCTAGTTTCCCCAGATGGATTTCCCAAGAATGTAGCAACACGGTGATTTCTACCTGTTAGTGAGAGACTCCACTTGCTGTTGATCTTCGAAAAGTTAGACATGTGGCCTTTCCGACGGAGCAATCTGATCGACGATGTCAGTGAGTTGAAGAATTCCAGCAGAATCTCACGCCTGGTCAGAACGAGATTAAAGTTTGTGACTAAGAACCCGTAGTGATTTGGTGGCAAAAACATGGTTCATCACCTCACTGATAGATGAATGAATAAGACATGTGAAGCAGATCCAATACATAAAAAGACAGTGAGAGATTGTAAAATACTTGAGAAAAAACCGATAAATCTTCCAGATCCATTACACAGATAATGCAACAGAACAAGAACTTTCTTCAGATCTAATCGAGACATGTAAAAGCGCTAAACTCAGCGACTCTGATGGAGTTTTAAATTCGATGAGAACGCCAAGAGAGTGTTCTTACGTTTCTGTGAGTTTGGGGAGGGGTTTCAACGGGAGCCGCATCTGAACATTATCAAAGATCGGACCAAGTGCAGTGTCCTTCTCCGCGAACCGAGGTCTGGATTTCTTTGTCCGATCGGGTGAGACCCCGTGGGGCTGCCGGAGGCTCGCGGCAATCTTCCTCACCTCCTTCATGGAAAACGCAACGCCACGGTTCCTGATCCGCCTTGGCAACTCTGCCAGCTTCTCTGGCGTCACGATTTCTTCGGGGATCGACGATTTCGTCGCCGCCGCCGCCGCCGCCGCACCGGGTGAGAAGGCCTTCACAGGCGTGGAAGGAGAAGGCTTCCGCCTCTCCATTGCTCGACATGAGGAGACGAGATCCATTGGAGCAGGTTCTGAGGCGATGAAGGAGGCCACCGAGACGGCGAGGGACGAGACGACGAAGACGAGGTGGCGAAAGGCGAAGGTTAGTCCGGGTTTTTGGCGGGAGAGGTCGTCACTGACGAGAAACATCCCCACTGGGCCACGTGGAATGACACCACGATTGATGGGTCCAATCATACAGATTAGGATATTCTGGCGGCCCGATTGGGGTTCACAGTATGGGCGGTCCCGATCGAACCACATTGGGTAACCCAGTTTAATACAAAAACATGGTGGACGCCAAATCAGTCAAATTAGCCTTCCCCGACCCGCCACCAAGAGGTGGACACAGCACCAACAACTCTCTCTCTCTCTCTCTCTCTCTCTCACTCTCACTCTCACTCTCATCCTCACTCGCACTCTCACTCTCTCTCTCTCTAGCTCTCTCTCTCTGGCTGTGGATGGGCATGAGGTCTGTGTACGAGAGGATCTAGGAGAGGAGCTTCCTGGGGGGAAGAGGGGAGCTGCCCGTCTCTGATGGAGAGGCGGGGGGGATGAGGAGGAGACTATCTTCGTTCTTGGAGAGGATCCCGCCGGTGCGTTCGTCGTCCGCGGCGGCGTTCCGGCGAACAATGTGGATGCCGGCGGTGAAGCGGCTGCGGGGATGGTCTCTGAGGAGGCGGTGGGAGTGGGGGAGGAGATGGGTCCTCTCCCGAAGAGTCCACTTCGCTGGAGACCTGGAGACGAACGAGGAGGAGGCGGCGGCGCTGGGCGGCCGCGGCGCTGGGACATGGCAGCGTCTCCTCTACAGGCTCCACCGCCACCTCCGCCGGCCCTCCGGCGGGAAGGGCTTCCGGTACGATTTCTTCAGCTACGCCCAGAACTTCGACGATGGCGTTCGCGTTGAAGAGTGAGAATCCTTCGACTGCTTCTTCGTCTTCTTCTTCAGATCTCCTGCTCCGGCGATCCTGGAGGAGGGGTCACCGTATGTACAGCCTGTGATCAAAATGAGAGTGCGAGTGCTTGTACATGGATCTGTTTTTGGTCCAATTAAGCATAAATATCCAATCCTCTCCCCATTCCTCACAGTAAAAATCCAGTTTTTCATTTTCTCCGGTTGAGGACACCATGCCCAGGTCTCATAATCGAGGGAGAGAGAAAGAGATAGAAGAGAGAGAGAAGAGGGAGAGAGAGAGAGAGATGCTTATGGGCCCCGCACTCTGTGACTCTTGGAAAGTGGGGTCTGATTAGGATCTCTATTTTAGACAAGAACTTATTTTATTTAGTTAAATCGGGCAATAATGAATAGAGTCGTTGATATTGGACGTGATGTAAAAGGACAGTTCTAACCCCCCCTTACTCTTTCTCTCTCTATCTCGCTCGTACTCTCTCACCGACATCTGTAAAAGGGTCAAGCTTGGCAAGAAAAATAAACTTTGGGTCAGGCCTAAATAAACCTCGGGCCTACTCTAGATAGATCCAGGCTGACAATCGAGAGAGAGAGAGAGAGAGAGAGAGAGAGAGAGAGAGAGAGAGAGAACAGAGAGAGGAGTAGGGGGGCTGCCGCGGGGGAAGCCTACGTGGCGAGGAAAACAGACCAAAGCTAAGAGCCGGCCCCACCAAGAAGTTCTCGTGGGGCAGCCAGATTCTATTTCTCTCTCTAGACATGATTATGATGTCCAACCGTGTGACAATCCACACTGAGGTGGACCTACTACATGCGTACTCATTCTAGTGGGCCAGAGAGAGAGAGAGAGAGAGTTGAAGGTTAATAGTATCTCCAGATTATCATTGGTGGGCCTTAAAATCATGGCCCGCTCCATATTATTCCGTAATCTCCGGACCCAAAAGTCCAGAACTCTCTCTCTCTCTCATTCTAAATTGGGCTCATTTTTCATTTCGGGCCAAGTTCAAGGCCCAATTTCCTATGGCTTGAACTTGGGCCTAATCTCTCTCTATGTATTTCCAGGTGAGTGTTCCCTAAAATGCAACTATGGGCAGGGAAATTAGGAGGAATTCAATCAGATTCGGCATGCATTTCTGGTTAAATATTTCTGTGTGTGTGTGTGTGTCTAAGCACAGCGAAATGAGAGGGATTTAAATAATTTTCCATGTTAATATATGCTTCCTGATAAATATGGAATAATTTTAATTATATAAATGTGAGAACATTGAGGAGTAGTAAGGAATAATTTTAATTTTAATTTTAAGTATGTCTATCTATAGTTCTGGATTAATATTTCCAGCTATGGAATAATGGGCATGAATGCAAAGATAAGTAAAAATGAGAACACATGAGATTAGGCAAGATCTTGATTATATTCTATGGTTTCATTTCAATTCCTGGACAAATTTCTCCAACATAAAATCATGGGCAAGAACACAAAATAGAGGGGAAGAAACATTGTTCATCATTTAGGTCATGCAAATCTATCTGTCACCATCCATGGTGTAAACTATTGTTATTAGAGGTTGTATATCTTAAACACCTCAGCGCCACAATTTTACTTATACCCAAGTTTGAAGGCTATCTTGTTTTCTCTATTCATGAGTATTAAAATGAATGGCATTACACATTCCCTCATAGTGTGTATGTAATGGAGTTAGTAGATTGAGTCCCTTAGTAACTACATAGTTGTTTCAGAGTAACTAATCATTTAGTTCCCTCACTATTTAGTCTTAGTTAGAGATATGGGCCCTAGTTAAAATCTTATGATTGAAACATTCATGATAGCTTGGTATCCACTATAATGTATATATTAACAAGAAAAATCTTTTTAATCCTCAATTGTATGGCTTTTAATTTGGAGTGTTGGTTGAGATCTCAAAAGAAATTCTTAAATGTTTGTGCATTGTAAAGAAAGTCCCCACATATATTTTCGGTTCTAAGAATTAGATATGTCTTAACATCTTAATCAGTTTCTTGTCAACTATCATGCATTTTAAAAGTGCAATGTCCACAATGAGCTTTACTACCTCTAGCAAGATACGAAAATCCGAGCTCAGCCCCGATTTTTCATTGGTGTGGGTGATGGCCACAATTGCCACTGTTTGCATGTTCTTGAATTTTTCTTCTATTGCTTGAAGGTAATTCTCAACCTTTTCGATATTAGTAGACACCAAAGATAGGTGTTCCCTTGTTTTGAACCAATGTTTTCTTCTAGGTTATGCTTTGTTCAACCATTTTCAACAACTATGATACCAAATTGTCACTTAGACACTCATAGTTTGGCATTATCTATTCATGCAATTGGTGTTGACCATCCCTTGTGATGTTAAACCAACATAATTCAATGAGGTTTATATAAAAAAATTTAAATATTTTTTCACAAAAAAAAATAATACATAGAGGGGGAGAACCCTAAGTTTGATAAAACCCTAAGACTGAAACCATGTTAAAAACATGGATATAAGACTGAAACCATGTTTTCCAAAATACCCTTAGACTTTAATAATATAACCCTTAACCTTCTAATAAGATTCTAGGTTAAAAGGTTAGATAAAAAATTCTCAAGGTTAATATGCAGATCTAAGTAAAAATTTATGAACTACATTATATAAAACTATTTTAATGTTCTTCATTCAACTTTAACTTAATTAGTATGTTATTCCTTATCATATGAATTTAATTATCATATAAAAATGATATGTTAACATACTCCCCAACTTAAATCATGACCAGTCTCTTAGCAATACCTACAATAGTTTGAATTTGAATTAGTAATTATTAAAATATTATTTTTGAAACTAAGATTGGTTCCCAATGAATCTAGTTGACTTAGGCATATATCAAATTCTTACGTCAAGAATCAAGAGCAGAATGTGTTTTAATTTATAAACACTTCTCAAGGTTACTTTCAAAATTCTATTTTTCTTTCTACACAAGATCAACACTTGTAATCAACAAATGTCATCTCATAGATACTTGAAAACTTTTATATCACACTAAATAATGTTCTTCATTCTATCATCCTGAGTAATTTTCCATCATTTAAGGTTTTCTTGTCTTTCTATCTTTGGTGATGCTAAATAACATGGACATACGACTTTTTCATCATGGCTCTCTTCTCTTCTTGTTAGTGCAAGGCAACATTTTCCTTCAACAACATGACTTTTGGAACTTCACTCCCCATGTGTCCCCCTCCCTTTTTTTTTTTTTTTGAAATTAGGCCTTTGACTTCTCCCTCTGGTACTTTGATTGAGGAATTCAATTTTCCAATCAAACTTGAAGCGTTTGATGTGTTTCTTAACACCTACTATTTTCTATTTACTGAATTGCAAAGTGTGTAGATATATCCAAATTATTAAATGAGAATTTATCATGAACTTAAGAAATATTCTAATAATTTGACTATGTTTTCAACCCTTTTACTTAATCATAATCACTCTAGTATGCTTTGAATTCACATATCTACTTTTATTGGATCTGGGCCCACATTTGGTCAATGTTTTGGGAGTCAATCTGACTCAAGGAGGATTGAGGAATATAAATTTCATTTTTAATTATCATATTTTAATCTGACCTAGTTTTTAGAAAATAGCTATTCTTTTGTTCTCAATATTGAGAGAAACCTTTTAGAATCACTTAAATATAATTCTAAAATACATAATATTTAAATTTATTTACATAAATGTTACCCAGGCTACAAGCCCCATGACTTTTTATTTGGTCGTGACAATTTAAAAGGATTTTAAATAGTATCCAAAACTATTATTAATTTTATTTTTCCTCCATTTCCCTGACATTGGTCAAAAACCAGGTCTCCATATTTTATTAAATTTTTTACAACCCGGTCTTCTTCTTCTTCTTCTTCTTTAAAAAATAAATTATATAGGTCTTCTTCTTCTCCCCACTGAACATGTCGCCTTGCCGGCGGTGGGAGCAACCTCAGACATGACTCCGGCGAGGAAGCTAAGGCTGCCGCCGCCCATCTTCTTTCCCCCTCCGCCGCCGCCTCCGCCGCCAGCCGCCGTATCACCACTGGAGACGGTCACCGATCGCATCACCAAGCTCATCAATGAGCACCCATTCCCTTCCCGGCCCCTCCTTCCCCTCCTCGAACGCCATCTCGGGCCGCCCCTTCTCTCGCCGGAGCTTGTCGAGGCCGTCCTCTTCCGCCTCTTCCGTGGCCACGCCAACAGCCTCAAGTCCCTGGAGCTCCTCCGATTCTCCCTTCGCCGCCACCTCCGGCCGAGCCAGCGCGCCTTCGACGCCGCCCTCCACGCGCTGGCCCGCGCCGGCGAATTGGAGCGCGCGTGGGAGCTCCTGGAGGAGGCGGCGGCGGCGGCGGACCCTTCTCTGCTCAGCAGCAAGTCCATGGGGATCCTACTCGCCAAGTACGCCAAGTTCAGGACCTTCGAGGAGACCATGGAGGCCTTCGAGAGGATGGAGAAGGTCTTCGTGGGGAGGGAGTTCGGGGTGGACGAGTTCAACGTCCTGCTCAGGGCGTTCTGCGCGCGGCGGCAAGTGCTGGCGGCGCGCGCCGTCTTCCGGCGGCTCCACGCGAGGTTCCCCCCGAATTCGCGGACGATGAACACTCTGCTTCTGGGTTTCAAGGAGACGGGGAATCTCATGGCCATGGATATGTTCTTCCACGAGATGATCCTCCGAGGTTTCGCCCCGGACGTCGTCACCTTCAACATCCGGATCGATGGGTACTGCAAGAAGGGACGGATTCGAGAGGCCATGCGGTTTCTGCAGGAGATGGAGGAGAAGAACTGCTCGCCCACATTGGAGACGATGACCACTCTGGTCCACGGCGCCGGCGTAGCCAAGGATGCTTCCCTCGCCCGCCGCCTGTTCGATGAAATGCCTGCAAGATATCTGACCCACGACGCCGGCGCCTACAACGCGCTGATGGCGGCGCTAGTGCGGGGGAAGGACCAGAGCTGGTCGGCCGTGGAGATGATGGAGGAGATGGAGGAGAAGGGGATCGTCCCCGACGACGTGACCTACCACACCGCTCTCTGGGGACTGACGGCCGGCGCCGCCGCCGCCGCCGCCGGCGACGAAGTTTGTGGGCTCTACCGGCGAATGGTGGAGAAGAACTTCGTGCCGGCGACGAGAACGGTGGTGGCGCTGATGAAGTTCTTCTGCGAGAACCGGAGGGTTGACTTTGGCTTGAGCCTGTGGAGATACCTGGTGGGGAAGGGCTGTTGCCCTCATGGGCATGCGCTGGATCTGCTGGTGACGGCGCTCTGCTGCAGGGGGAGGGTGGAGGAGGCCTGCAGCTGCTTCAAGGAGGTGGTGGAGAGGGGGAGGAGGCCGCCAGAGAGGAGCTTCAGAGTGGTGGAAGGGTTCCTCCTCGCCAGAGATGGCGGCGCGGAGAGGGTGGAGGAGCTGAAGAGGATGATGGAACAGCTTGGGAGCTGCTCTTCGGGGGAGATAAACTGATTCAGGCATGGGCTCCTCTTTTTCTGTTCTTTTCTCTGATTTTTCTCGTAATCCATTCATTTCAAATATTTATGGTGCAAGAAATGTATAACCAGAATTATGAATCAGCTAATTCATATGAATTATTCAATGTAATAATACGGCATCACTCACTGGATCATGCTATAGCTCAACCGCACGGGCCATCTTAGAGAGATTCCGTAAGATCCATTCATATTCATATAATCCATCAACCGCATGCTAGATTCAAGGTAATAATAATACAATATCACACACTGGGCCATCTCAGAGAGTTTCAGCAAGACCCATTCATATGATCTATCAACTATATACTAAAGATTATTCGATGATCTCAATGTACCTGGTTCAAGGGTAATCTTCCGGCCTTCCCTCGTTGACCTCTCATGCTGTTTCATTGACTTTTCCTGCGTGGTCTCATCTCAGCATGAAGAGATCCCAGGTTGCAGAACATCACCTGATGTAGGGTAGCCCGGACGGGACCTGCGCCGCATATTGGATGTACTCGAACCCGAAGAACTGCTTCAGGAAGAACTCCTCGTACCTGGGTTTTGAGCCATTTTCAATGGAAATCAGAAAGCAGCAGCGATGCAATAACCAGGAGGGCGGCGGATTCAAGAACGTACGGTATTCTCGTGTAGAAGAACCGCCATGTGACTACTGCAAAGGCGACTATGGAGATGGGACTGCAGAGCATCACCTGCGTGCCAATTGCAAATAAGAAGAACCCGCAGTACCCTGGATGACGGATGAATCTGTCGAGAAACAAACACAGTGAGTAAATTGTTGCCACTCTTTCTCACTCCGGAGGGAGGAGGAGGTGGGGAGGTCAGGGGTTCCCGGAAAATGATTCCCAACTGTGTATACAAGCCAATTCATGCCTAAATCAGGGCCTTCTTCACACGTTGGTGGTACAAGCTTGTGTAGAACGAGCACAGTGATGGATTTTGGATTGACATTTTGCATGGGCTTTTCTGGGGATCAAAAGTTTTCTAGTTGATTTTTCTCTATTATCTAATAAGCCAATAAATCATATACAGGTTTTTTTTGCCTTGGAAATCGCATTTATGCACAAAAGGTACTTCCAACATTCACGGACACAACAAAATTACTACATAAGTGCACATTCAATCAATGGAATATAATTTTTTCCCACAGAGACCTCGTAGCAACGTTTCTCAATTTACAGCTCATTAAATAGTTTTCGGACGCCATTATTATGGCCTTATTATGAAGTAATGCATGCCATCTTTCAGTCTTCCTCAAGCAGGGGAGTCAAAAAAGTACATCCCTCTTAAAATAACGAAAGAAGAGCCTAAAGGAGCTTGGAAGTGGAGATTGTAATACATATTCGCATGCACTTTAATGCAATAAAGCCATATCACTGTCGCTACTGCCAATAAATTATTCCAATATCCCACAACAATACTTTATGACTACTTTGAGCTGACGAGGCCAACAGATGAGTTCAATATGCAATCACAATTCTTTCAGAGTGTTAAAAGTCCTAAAAACTAAAGCAAAGTTCAACATAAATAATTACCGATAAATTCCATGAGTAACCAATTGATGGTGCTGTTCACGCTGGATTTTGATCGTATGCGTGAAAGAACGTCCAGCAGTGAGAACAGCAGCCTTCCGTATAGCCTCTCCAATCACCACCAGCAAAAGGCCAAAGTTGCTCACCCACCAGTGCTCTTTCAATTCTGGGAACATCACAAGCTCTATAGCATACTCCAACAATGCACAAACCATCGCGATTATGTATTGCTTGCTTATCAGGAGCGCTGGAAAAGATACCAAAAGATTTCCAAAGTTAAAACCAGAATTACTGCATCTGAACTGCATGAAATTAAAGTCTCAGTGTTTAATTTCTGATTCTCTGTCAGTGATAGATTCAGGGTATTCCTCATCTCTACTTCTTATCCACCGTTTACTCCATTAAAGTTTCTCCTCTGTTGTTTTCTTCCTACTTAATGTAGCTCTTTGGGAATCACAGCTGAGCTAATTTTAATGCCCATTTGCTTAAAAACTATGGCATTTCTTCGCCGTAAAATCTGCAAAAGCTAAGCCTAGCGAGATCGGATATTTCATTTTGAATCATTCATTCCAGTTAATTTGTTCTAAAGAACTCAACAACTGACTCCCTTGATGATAAGTTTTCAAAGAGATGTGAGCATCATGATAAGTTTCTAGGTTTGGACAATTTATGTGTTCATTTTTAAGAAGAGGGGAAGGATAACCACACATCATTAATGCCAGGCTCTCTAATGATTTGTACTTTCTATCACCAATTTCTACGGTGCTTTGAACGTGGGTAATTGGGATGGAGCCCATGATCCTTGAGAAATCTACGCATTTGCAATGTTTTCTTCAAACGAAAAATCCACGCTTCAACCCCAGGGTGGAGACCAGACGTGCTATGCCAATTACATCCTATGATCTTCCATCTTTCACGTCTTCCAATCCCTTTCCTGTCTGATCAAGTCTCCTCTTAACCACCGGCAGTGCTTTCTACCATCCAGAAGGAAACTTTACGGAGTACGCCTCTTGCTTCCTGATTAAGGATTCCATTCTGGAAGGAATCCCCGAGAGGAACCTGCACGATTCCGGAATTCGATCAACACGAATTCAAATCGATCTAAACATCACGTTCGATCCCATCCACATAGATCGTCGTACATCCGTTGGACCCTCTCTTCACGGAGTTAATGCACATCTCACCGACGACGAGGTCAATTGCGATCTGAATCCCTGAATAGGTGACGGAGGGCACATAATTGGCCATAAAATATCGGTGAAGAAGGAACGGAGAGGCTACTTACAGGTCGAGGAGAACTTGGATCTGCCATGAATGGCGATGGCCAGAACAAACTCCGAGCTGTGGAAGAAGACGATGACCGCGAGCAGCTGCGACAGCTGCCGGCAGCCGGTGTGCCCTATAAAGTCTCCCACCATCTGCCTCCTCCTCCTCCTCCTCAGGCCCGCACCGATCAACGAGGGCCCTAGGTTTGCAGACGACTCGAAATCCCGAACTCACCTCACCGGAGGTGTCCTGCTTCCGATTCGAATCTGAAGAACACTCCAGAGCAGATCAAAACACCAGCGTCCACCACTGCGAACACTCCCGATCCGCCGCCAATCTTCCCCGTTCCCTTCACGAATTCCTAGCGGAGGATTCCGCCTCCGTGCTTTACCGCTCCCGAATCCACTCCGGCGACGCGGATCGCGCGGGTATTGAAGCCAGGGATAGCGATTCCTCCTTCCTCCTTCCACCGCCTCCGCACGCCCTCCCTCGCCGCCCCCTCTCTCCTCCTCTTCCAAGCCCCAATTTCCTTCCTCCGTCCTCCCCGGGCTTGACTGAGCTCCGAGTAAAACGGCGCTTTTCAAAACCTACCCCCTTCTTCACTGGATGGGGCCTTTGACCGGGCATCTTTCTCTCTCGTCCTCCTGTCCCGGATCCATACCGGGTCCATCCAAACTAGTTGACCGAGAGGCCGCCTCAATCCGCTCTGTCGGATCTCTGGCCCATTCTGGTCAACATTTCGGCAGTCAACTAGACCTAGAGGGCAGATCTTGGTTGGGACCGTATCGATATTTTCCTCGATCCTCCTCCAGCTCGCGTTGACTCCTGAAAGGTTGACCTGATGTGGGCCCGTTATCCGACAAAACGGATAGATGAGACCTTTCGGTCAACTAGTTTGGATGGACCCGGCATGGATCCGGAACAGGAGGACGAGAGAGAAGCCCCGTCAAAGGGTGAGAAGCACAGTTTTTACTCAGAGCTCAGTCAAGCCCTGGGAGGAGGAAGGAGGGGGGGTGCGGGGGGGGGGGGTGGGGCGGGTGTGGGGATTGAAAAAGAACGGCGAAATTGGAGCTCGGAAGAGGAGGAGAGAGGGAGCGGCGGCGATTGGGGCGGCGAATTCGAGCGGCGGCGGAGGAGGAGGAGGAGGAGAGGGGGGAGGGGCTACCGCAGGATCTGGAATTCCGGCGAGGGGGTTTTCTCCGTGGTCTCTTGGTTTTGCGTCGCAGGGAAGGGGGGGAGGGAGCTCCAAGAGGTCAGTCGGTCCTTCTCCTGGTCTAGGTTTCCGCCTGGTTCTGCTCTCAATTAGGGCTTCAATGCTCTCTGCAACACGGCCCTATTTCCCCTGGACCTTCCTCCGCCGCCGCCGCCGCTGGATCTGCCGCCGGTGCGTGGAATCGCTATCCCTAGCTTCAATAGCCGCGCGATCCGCGTCGCCGGAGTGGATTTGGGAGCTGTGAAGCACTGAGGCGGATCCCTCCGCAAGGAATTCGTGATAGGAACGGGGAAGATCGTCGGCGGCTCGGGAGTGTTCGCGGTGGTGGCCGCTGCTGTTTTGATCTGCTCTGGAGTGTTCTTCAGATTCGAACTCGGAAGCAGGACGCCTCCGGTGAGGTGAGTTCGGGATCTTCGGCCGACGAGTTCTTCCTCTTGTATGCGACCCTAGGGTTTTTCTCCCTCCGCTCGAGCATGGGAGCCGCCCGGCATTGTTGCTGCCAGTCACTGTGGAGTTCGCCTCGCTGATCTGATCCCTGTAGAGAAAATGAGTTGATGCGTCGAGAAATGCCGCCGCCGCCGCCGCTGAAGAACTCCCGTATCAACCTCAGAGATTTGCAGTCGCAGATGGCTGCGAAGATCGGCCCCGAGAGAGCCCAGCGCTATTTCAGTCATCTGAGCAGGTTCCTGGTCCAGAAGCTGAGAAAAGCTGAATTCGACGCGGTCTGCCTGGAGATTTTAGGCTTCGAGAATGTCGCCCTGCACAACCGGTTCCTCCGCTCGATCCTCTGGAATGCGTCTCAGGCCAAGCTCCTTTCTCCGTCCCCCCATGGCCGGGACTCCCCGAAGCTGAACAAAGCAGCCGTGAAGAAATCCCCTTCAGCCAGCGACTTCCTCCATCACTCCCCCTTTCCAGCCTCAGCGAATGGGGATTTCATGCCTTCGTCACCTCGCAGGAGCAGGTCAACGATCTACAGACCGAAGGATCATCAGCCCAGCCACCTGAGGCTGAACGGGAAGGTCAACGTCGCCGCCGCTGCCGCAGTGGAACGAGGCGGCGCAGAGGCGTCTGCGAAGAAGCAGCAGGTTGAGAAGCCATCATCGCATGATCCCCCAGAAGCCGCCTTTCTCGATGATGCAGAATCTGATCGAGGTCCTATAATGGCGCCGCTGGGAATCTCATTCTTTCCGACCAGTCTCGGTGGATCTCGCTCTACACCGACCTCCATCACCGCCGGCGGATTCTCCTCCGGCGAGCTCTGCGACACCGAAGCTCTGAGGAATCGCATGGAGCAGATATCTGCAGCTCGTGGTCTGGAGGGCGTCACCGTGGACTGCGCCAATCTCTTGAACAACGGTCTGGACGCCTACCTGAAGCGGATCATCACCTCCTGCGTTGACCTGGTGGGAGCAAGATCAGGGCAAGAACCAGTGAATCCCAGGGCCTTCAAGAAGCAATCTCATGGAAATATGGTCAACGCCGTATCTCCAGAAAATGACCTACATCTACTGAGTACTTCTGGATCTTCCAATACCCGTCGTCCGCTGTCGATGCTGGATCTCAGGGTTGCCTTGGAGATGAACCCCCGGCAGCTAGGGGAAGATTGGCCGTCGCTGCTCGAAAAGGCATGCCTCCGCTCTTTCCAAGAGTAACCCTCCTCCCTCCTGGGCAAAGTTTTGATCTTTCCAAACCCACCCCCTCCCACCCCCCCGGGGCGGCGCAGGCGTTGACCCATCTGGTCTCGGTGCATACGGTGAATAAAACGGGGGTCAACCTGCCCGAAGGGACAATTCTTGGGCCCACACGCCTCCTCAAGCTCTGGTAAGCCCTTCCTCATCGGTTACATATAGATATACATAGCAAGCTAATCAATCGACAGAGGAGGTGGGTAGCCCTCCGCGATGACGCCCGCAGATGCCCTGTGTAATCTATACGTGATTTCTAGGGATTCAGAGGACAGTTTCGACATTTTTATTATAAAATCTGAGAATTTCTCGGGTAGTTTAATTGCTGCCAGTTATCTTCATCCGATTATTCATTCATTTACTTAATTATTCAGAAGCACTCTGCGCAAGGTACCCTTTTCTAATTTTCTTCCCTTTTTGTTAGTTTTTTTTTTTACCGCTGATAATTGTTTTGACTGGTTTTCTCTGTGAACAATCTCTCTCTCTCTCTCTCTCTCTCTCTCTCTCTCTCTCTCTCTCTCTTCTCTCTCTAAGTTTTGGTCTGATGGGGCGGAGTGGGCTTGAGTCATCTTGAATGGGTTCATCTTATTTGGGGGAAGAGATGACCAGAATGTATCGTCTTCCTCCTCCAGACTCACCGGCGGGAGGAACAGAGAAGGGGAAGAAGAAGAAGAAGAAGAAGACCGTGAAAAAGCCACTCATTGCGAGAGGTGGGCAAGGTCGATCGACCTCGCTCTGCGATCCTCCAATGGGGCTCCTGCGCTTCCCCTCTAGGAACCTATTGAGAGAGAGAGGGCGTCTATACAGCTGGGGAGGCGGCGCCGGCGGCGGCGGTGGTGGTGGTTCACTTGGGGAGGCAGCGGTCGACGCAGAGGGCGGCGCCGGCGAACCTCGCGCTTCTCCGGCCGTCCTCCGCGGGGCTCTGTGCATAGACCTCCGTGAGCCGGTGGCGGCGCCGCCGGGCGGTCGAACCAGACAAAGGCCTTGGCGAGGGGCGCGCGCCTGCGCTTGGGCCTCTGCGAGGAGATCTCCATCTCCGTCCTCAGCATCTCCCACATCACCTGCACGTCCTCGTACTCGCACGTCTGCACGTCGTCTTCCAGCTTCTCTATCCCCGTCCCTGCCCACACGCACAACCCAGTCAACGACCATCCCCACCCCACCGACAACCGTTGCGGCGGCGCAGCGGCGGCGCAGCGGCGGCGCCACCCGCGTCCATCTCTCTCTCTCTCTCTCTCTCTCTCTGGGGTTCCTATCCTTCCCCAAAAAGAGGTCGATCTTCCGTGAATCCGATCCTCCAGCGTCGATTCGATTTAGGAATTCCGAACCAGTCTCTCCCTTTCCCTCTCTACAAACTAGACCGGCAAGAGATAGAGATAGAGAGAGAGAGAGAGAGAGATGTCACCGGGAAGGAAAGAAGGAAGAGGGCTCACCGATCTTCCTACCGGGCTTGGCTCGGGAAGCGGCGGCGGCGGCGACGGCGACCCAGGCTCGCTTCACCGGCGGCAGGACCGCCTTCTCCCACCAATCCATCATACGCCACCCAATCCCCCTACCCCCACCTTCCCCAATATATATAGTACAACTACCAGTAGAGAGAGGAAGAAAGTGGAGAGAGAGAGAGAGGAATGTGGAGGCTGGTAAAGTACTCCGCGGCTCGTCCTCGACCTCTCACTAGATTCTACGAGCACGTTCCTCGTGACACCCGCCAGACAATCTCTCTCTCTCTACCTTCTCTCTCTATGTGTCCGTCCACACCCCTTTCCTCCCTCCTTCCTCTACCCCTTCACGATTAACCTCACACACCGCTCCCCGCACGCGCCTTCTTCCCTCTCACACGTGCCGATGTCGATACCCCCACCTGCGCTTTTAGCTTCTCTCTTATGGCCTAATAATATCTCTTCCTCTTACGGTCTGCGTTGACTACGACTCTCCCGGCTCCTCTCTCTCTCTCTGTCTCTTTCTCTCTCTACATCATTCATGGCCCACAGTGTTTCTGATTCGGGATGTATCTAGATTTTAGTAAAACATAGATTACGAGTCTAGGGTCCACTCCAATCTCTCTCTCTCTCTCTCTATCGTTTTCTTTCTCCTTCGGATTGAAGCATTCCATGGGAAATGATCAGAGTCGGCGTTGACCTTCCGAACGAAGGCTGCTGGCGCCGACACGTCGAGTATAATATAATGGAAGCTGCTTGGTCGTATTTTACGGCGCCGCGACTAAAAAGAATTTGTAGGTATTAACGTAATTCGACGGGGAATCTAAGATTTTTTAATAATTTCCCACGTGGCCGACATCCATCGACGTGGAACACGTGACGGATGACACATGCCCCATTGGTCAGCATCCTGGCTGATACTTGGACGGCCTGCTGAGCTGTCGAATGCCCATTGGCCGCGATGTTCGGATCCAAATACGTCACCGACATCAATAAATGGACGAAAAATAATACGACAAATCCATTGGAAATATAAATGACGAACTTTATTTGTGGACTTACGTCATCAGATGACGTCATCAACACCTTGTTTGGGACCATTCACGTACTACGGACGTGAGATTTGGGCTGGCCCAAAGACCCGCTCCGTTAAGGAAAGCTCGAACTTCGAATGACTCACGTGACCCGGGAGGAGGAGAATCTTTAGAAACGCTGGAATATTCGGCCGTCTCAGTGACGGAAAGATTGCCACGTCGATGTACGAGACGTTTGCACGTGAGAAAAAGAGAGGGTTTATCGGAGGATTTGGGAGCTCATCTCTCGTAGTTCAATTTAGTTGGGTTTTTTTATAAATATCGGTCTATTTTATTTTATTTATTAGACTAAAATAATTTAAAATAATTATGAATATCATGTATTTATACCCTTTGATGTAGGCGTATAAAGGATGGTAGGAAATATTATTTTTTTCCGTAGTAGTAAAAGATGAATCCGGGCTCGGCCTGGGCCATGAAAAAATGACGGGCCCTAATCGGCCTGTGGGGTCGCCGACGACCGCGGCCCCGCCACCGCCATCGCCACCTTTTCGTTCCCATTGGAAATAAAGGGACCGCAGACGGACGGCGTGAGGGCGCCGCCGGTCATTATCGTCCTGCGTGACCTGCATGAAGACGGGCCGCCGCCCACCGGTGAAAGTGCGGCGGCGGAGCTCCTTTTCCCACATCTTCCTCCGGCCACCAGCACCGGCACCGGCGCCGCCGCCGCCGCTTTCGGTCGTGAAAGATTTGACTGCTTCCTCTCCAGATCTCTTCTTTTCCACCTCCGGATCTGAATAGACCCATGGGAGGCAGGAAGAGCCCGGCCCGAAAAATCCAGGCCCGGGTTTTAAAATGTAGCCCGAAAAGAGAGAGGGGGAGAGAGATAGACAGAGAGAGAGAGAAAGAGAGAGAGACAGAGAGAGAGGGAGAGAGTGAGGGAGAGAGAGAGGGAGAGAGAAAGAGAGATAGAGAGAGATAGAAAGAGAGCGAGCGAGAGAGAGAGAGAGAGGCAAGTTAGAAATTCATTTATTTCTGGGAAGGGAATGGAAGAACAGGAAAGTCTACCCATTGAGAAGGCCCCTCTCTTGGACTTCTCACCCTCTTTCTTCTTGGAAATTTACCGGACTCTAGCTATTCGAGAAACAAATACCCAATATAGCGCCTCCCGGCTCCACTATGGAACGCAACTGATCCTCAACCACAGAGAAATCTCCAAACCCAGATAAAAATAAGACTTAAAAGTACAGAGTAGAGAGAGAAAGAGAGGGAGATAGAGAGAGAAAGAGAGAGAAGCCTACCCATCTGACTGTAGCCCACCGATTGTGAGGGAGGGAGCCGTCACTTTGACTTCTTTCCCTGTTTCTTCTTGATCACCTCATCAAGGTACATAATCCCCTTGCCCTTGTAGACCTCGGGGGGCTTGCAGCTGCGGACAGTGGCGGCGAACTGGTGCACCCGCTGCTTGTCGATGCCTGTACAGCAGATCACGTTGGGCTTGAAACAGAATACCCGGACAGCCGGTGGCACAGTCAACTCCACTTCGTGGCTGTAACCCAGCTTCAGGAGCAGCAGGCGGCCCTCCGCCTCCGCTCTGGCCTTGTACCCAACGCCCACCACCTTCAGAAACCTGAAAAACTTGGATTCCATCTCCTCTACGCTTCGAGCTACCTGTCGAAGGAAATCAGGAAGTCAACCCTACCCATTTACATTCCAATTGACTAGAATTCAGTTTCTCATAGAACTGTTTCATCTGATTTGTTCATCCAACTCTGGCGGCATTAACAATCGGCAGAGATTTATGACAAGTTGTTGCACGGCAAGAATCCATGTCGATCCCTGTGACCAAGAACAGTGAGTTTGACCAAAGCACCCGATGAAGTCAAATTCTTCCGAAATTGCAGGAGTGATATGTTAAATATCATCATCTAGTCTATCTACTAGAAAGCAGCATACAAACTTAAATTATTTTCTTGAACTTCCTCCCATTTGACTGGAGTTGCCTGACATGGATTCCGACAATCTCACGACTAATGGAAACCAAGGTATGAAACAGATAATCTGCAACGATTGATTTTACTTAACAGGGGCGATTATGAGCCATTAAAGATTTTCAGAGAATTCGATTTTGCAGAAGAATGCTTACTGCGATCAAACCGACTTCTCTCTGACCGATGGGTGCTGCATGAGATGGACCGCCATCATGTCTGACCAGTGGAAACCAGGGTAAAAGCTATATCATCCGCAACATCAGATTATAACCAGCAAGGTCGATCAAGAATCATTAAAGTTTATACACTCAGAGGGTTCGGATACGCAGAACAATATTTTCTTCCAATGTTTTCTTCGATGCAAAAAAAATCTTCCCAAATTGCTGGAGTTGCGTGAGATGGATCGCCACTGATTAGTTCTGACCAACAGAAAACCGAGATTGAACCAAAGTATCGACAACCTGTGAGATTAATTAATGAAGCCAATCATGAATCATGATCAGTAGGAGGATACTTTCTTCAATGGAAACTGCTTCTTCCCAAATGACTGGAGTAGTATGAAATGGATCACCACCAACTTTGACTGATGGAAACCAGTGTACGAATAAGCTATCACCAACATGTGATTTTTTCTAACAAATACAATCATTAATTACCAAATTTTCAAAACGTTGGAATCGATCCGTAGATGACTATAGCTTCTTCAATGAAATCAGCTTCTTCCCCAATGAACATAACTGCATTTTTTTGTGCGACATCTTCACTCAACATACCCAACTGCCGATCGTCACTCACTATCTCCATCGCAGGTTTTTTTTTTTCTAATCCGTTATTTTTCACATCTCATTTCTTATCAAGCGCGCATTCCAAATAAACAGCGTAATTTCAGCGTTTACTAGAAATTCTGCACCTAGATCGGTGAATTTATTGCACTGATCACGCAACGTATGGGCAGAATCACGAATGTATTACATTCACCGGAGGAAAAATCTAGTTAACAGAAATATGAAAACACTTGCGATAAATACCTCAGCACGCCGATTCGCACATTAGATACAGCAGGAATGAAAATTCTTTCAACATTTTAGCCTAAAGGGATCGATAGGAAGCAGGATAGATATTTGCCGCGCCACGGCCGCGACGTACGACATTCGAACGATCAAAAAAACGAAACCAAACTGTGCAGCAAGAGGCATCGAGCACGGAAACATACCGCCGTATACTGCGCCAATGAGTGTAGGAGGAAGATCTCCACGCAACACGCCGGAAGACCAACGGGAGATGCGCTCCCCAGATTACGTTCCTCCGCTTGCGAAACGTAACGAGAAGAAGAGATGTATAGAGAGAAAGCGAGGCGCGGAGGGTAAGAGAGTTCTAGCGACACTCCTCGTACCGCTCCTTCCCGCCCGACGCGCGAGCTAGGGCTTCTCCTCCAAGAGGATTACTGCTGCTTCTCCCTCTCCTCTGGTCTAGGGTTTCTCGCAGAAACAGAAAGGAGAAACTTTTCCCGTCTCGGCGTGGGCCGGGTCGACCGGCTCGGCCGAGTCCAGCCCATCCTCGCCCCGCACCCAATCTGAGCCGCCCCCACCTAGAGGCCCATAACAACTCTAATTATACTTATATCGTAAATTAGCAATAAATATCTATTTATTCATTTTAAATTTTATAATGAAATATAAATATCTAATTTTGGGCAGATGGGATTATTTTTAAATTTAAGGGATTTCAATTGGATAAATAATTCCAATTTATTATTTTCTTATTTTTCTTGAAGAAAGTCGCCGGATTCAAATGTCTACTAGGCGGGAAAGGATTCGGATCGTGGGGCCGATGCGCTTAATGGGCCTAATTAATGGGTTGTTGGCCCATTATAGTGCGACGGAGTTGTCGTCGGTCGTCTGTTTCGACGAGGCTAGGGTTTTCTTTATGTGCCTCGTCCCGGCGATTTGCAGCGGCATATCAGAGGTTGCGGCTTCAGATCCTTCTCGGATTCTGCTTGGCGGCCATGGACGCGGCTGTGACCAGCGCCGCCGTGGCGAAGCAGCTGGCCTCCTGCAACAGGGCCACCAGGGACCGCGCCCTGCGGCTCCTGAGGAGCTGGCTCTCGGCGCAGACGACGGCGTCGGCCGTCTCCGACGAGGACCTCCTCAAGATCTGGAAGGGGCTGTTCTACTGCATGTGGCACGCCGACAAGCTTCCCGTCCAGTTGGAGCTCGTGAACCGTCTGGCGTCTCTACTGGTGAGCCTTGAACCTTCTGTCTCCGCGCGTTACCTCGAGGCCTTCGTCGTCACCATCCGCCGCGAATGGAGCGGCATCGACCACCTCCGGATGGACAAGTTCTACCTCCTTGTCAGGCGGTTTGTGCACCATGTATTTCTGTTCCTGAGCAAGAACGGTTGGGATCGTGACCTCTCGGAACGTATGATCGGGATCTTGTCTGAGAAATCGCTTCTCGCTGCCGATAAATGCCAGGCGCAGGGTGTGAACTACCACATCACGGATATTTTTTTGGAAGAGTTGAAGGTTTTTCTTCCTATTGTGCCGGAAATAGTCGCGGAACTTCTGAAGCCTTTCATTTCTGTGCTGGAGAGTTCTTCTGACAAGGTCCTCACAAACAAAATCAAGCGTAATCTCTTTGGTTGTCTACTTGAGAACGGGAGAAAGTACTTGGAGCATTTCAGAGTGGGAGAGGGGGATGGAGAGGAATTGGTCGGGGATGTTGACAAGCTTGGAAAGCTCGCTCTTGGTTTGGGCCTCGCCGGCAAGTTTTTCCAATCAGCATCTTCCGATGAGACTGTCCAGGGAAACAGAAAAGGTTTGTTCAGTTTGCACGAAGGTTTCCTCAAATTAGAGAAGGATCTGGAAAGCTCAGGTGTCACGGTTTCATTTTTACCTGAAAATGGTGGTTCAGAGGATGCTGTCGCGTCAGTTCCCTCTGGGGCGACTGAGCATGCTAACGGGGAGATGGGAAGTACCGAGGGGTCTCCTGATAATTCGTACTCAAAGAAAAGGAAGAAGAACAAGAAAGCAACCGCAAGCGGTGGGAAGAAGTCAAAGCCAACGAAGAATGGTGTGATTGACTCTCCTGCTGTAACAATGTCGTCAGCATCGGCCAGTGGTGATGGATTGACAGACAACGGAGAAAATCTGACAGAGATTGTAAACGCCGATGGAGATTTGGTCTCTTTTGACGAGATGGTCATGTCCAATCTTCAAAAGCAGTTTGAGAAGGTTGCTGCTGAGGCCGGCTTGGCAATAATTGGTGCGGGAGCTGGTGCCACCCCAGTTGCAACATTGAAGAAGAGGAAAAGAGCCAAGAGCGCGAATGTGCATGTTTCTAAAACTAATGGTTCTCCTGGGCGAACCGCAGCTGTAAAGAATGGGGATAGTAGCGTCAAGAGGGTACGGTTTTCTCTGAAGAACAATTTGGTCTGGAAACCTCATAGTCCTCTACCCCCTCAGAGCTTGAGATTACCACCGTCAGCTACTCCTCGAGGCAGTGCCCTGAAAAAGGGAGTACTTCCTGGCCCCATCAAGGAGTCTCCCCCAACAGTTAAAAAGGCGAAGATGAAGGCTAACTCAGTTAAGAAGGCAAGGAAGAGCTCGAAAAGTATCTCCCCGGCAGTCAAACGCCTCCGGAAGCTGCAGAGTCTTTCAATATAACTTTGATTGTAATGTTTTGTACACCTGAAAGCATGGATATCTTTATTCAGTGTTTCAGTTCCCCTTCTCTCACACATTTTCTCTTATGATAAATCTTCTGGGCACGTCTAGGTTTGTAGCCTGATGATCATTTTTCCTTCACCTTAGATGCATTCCCACTGCAATTGTTGTTCATACGACGTGAACCTCT